GTTAAAGTTTTCAACATATTTGCAATAACTTATATTCATCTTTCAATAAATGGTACATAAATGTATTGACTTCAGTTAAACTGGTTTGTGTCTTAATAAAATTAATGGGTTTTATCCAATGAAAAGAACACATTTGTTTAGGTTAATGAGACTGATGAGCTAAACCATTGATTTATWAAAGCTCTTTCTTTTAAAGGAAGTGGTGCCCCGAAATTATGTAATAAGATTTATATATTATGAATTAGCAATAATTCATAATTTGTCAATTTTTACATGTGCATCCTATTGACAAATACCCTAAAATATAATTTGCTTAGGCTTTTAGGAATTCGCATAGTGAGGAAAAATTGGTGGTGTATTAATGCAGATATTGTTTGGGAAATGTTCCTGCATGTCCTGTTGGACCCAAGCAAACTAGACATTCTTTAAACCAGTCAGATCACTTTCTGAGTCTGGTCTGAAAAGTACTAGATTGGAAACAGGGTTGGGCAAAACTGGATCATGTGCAATTAACGGTCAGAACAACTGTCACCGATTTTTAGGCATTTTGTGATTACTGTGATTAGTGCCTCGTGATGAATGATGTGTTTTTGTGTGTGACGCCTTATCAAGAGCGCTTGTGTGGTGGAATAAACAAAGGCAACAAAATTATTTAATCACCTGAAATACTGCCATAAATCGAGTACGACAAAGGCCAGAAAATGCAGACCGAAGCCACACCGGCTACAACAATCTCTCCTSCAGAGAATGGTGGAAACAAATCTACTCGGCCAAGAAGCCATGATGCTCTCCGTCAATCTGTCCCTTACAAGCAGCAAAGTAAGTGCTGGAAGGAGATAACGTGGTGCATATTACATTACTAAAGATATGCTGCCACTTCACATAGTCAAAATGGTGGGTTTAAATTCACAGTTTACTATTTAACCTGTTAAAATGAAGAAGTTAGTTTGAATGATTTAGAGTCAAAACCATGCAAGTGCAGTTGTCATCTATTAATCATTATTAGCYAAATGCCACAATTAATCGTGGTTATTTATTTYTGTTTTACAGATTTCGTGATTGGAAATCACAGCACCGCTTGTAATATTTTCACCAAAAATAATGTGGAGTTTTAAAAATCTTATGTTCTCAGATATTTGGTTTGTTTTTAAAAATGTCTGTAATGTGACCCCATTATTCAGAGCAGAATATGAGATCTTCCAGGTAAATGTTWCAAGGAGAATGTAGAACAACTTTTGATCAATCTGCATTTTAATTTAGGACAACTAAACACACCTCCTCATATGTAACGATTCCAATATTTTTCCCTTTATATTAACTAACACAGTATGTGTCACACTATGTGTGATTATTTTCTGTTTCACATTTTAGATAAATTCCTATTTCTGCATTGGTTTGGTATTGTGTTTTATTTTAACTCTCCTGCTACCATTGGCTAAATCTGTGTAARGCGACATTCTCTTTAGAATAGTTATTGTGGGTGGTCCCAAATGAATAAATGAAAGGTTTAAGAATGCCTTAAATTAATATGTTGATCTAGATTCAGTCATCCAGGACAAAAAAAACCGCATATGAAAACAGTTTAATCTGCATATAAATCTAGGTTACAGTGCTGTGTTTTTCATACAGGTTAAAAGCTTAGAACTCCAGTTTAGAACTGAGGAAACTCCTGGGATGGGAAGCGAAACATATTCAACTACAGACGTCCAGTTATTTTGTTTTTTATAATCTTTTTTTTTTTAGATGTAGCCTTTAAATATTTAGGAATGGGCTGCAGCTCCAGAGCCACAGGGAATCTATAGCCAGTATTTCACTGAGCTGCAGCTGTTGCTTGGTTTTATATTTGTACCAATAAAAATTCACATTGGTTTGTTTATGTTGTCTGTGKTCAGTATGCATCKAATGGRCTTACAACACTTTTAACTTTAATAAATGAAAGTTTCAAGGGAAAGTGTCTAACAAAACAGGAGGCAATTCCCAAAAACGTTCAGCGCAGTGCCTGACAATTACTGAAACTATACTGATAAAGGTTGAGACGCCTGTGATGACTTTGCGGCTGTTTTCAGGAACAACGAGGAACTTGAGAACTTGCAAAAGCTCAAAATTCCCCTACAATAGTTGTTTGCAATTTATCAGTGTCTCAGTGAGCTGTAACATGTTTTTGTCATGTGTGTCTTCTTGAATGGGTGTTTTGAATGTAATTTCACTGTGCTCCGTACAATGACAATGAAGGCATCATCAACAGTCAGAGCCCAGTGAGATATGAACTTTTAGTTGTTGGTAGACTAGTTGTCCTCTTAACTGAGTAACAAACTAATACATCTGATTCCCCCAGAAAACTTGTAGAGCCTGGTGGTAGGGCCACTAGAGTGGTATAGTTTTTAATGTTGATAATGCTAGGTCCATTAAATCTCATAATCGTGAGTACAGAATGTACCCATGCCTTTGTTTGCTTTTTTAAAGCAGATAAAAAAAACAATGATATTCCTGTTTTTTTGTGTTTAACCTCTTCAGATACACTCTAAAAATGAAATGTTGGATTTACTTAACCATGTTATGTGACCTGGTTCCACTTAACTGAGTTGAGTAAATTCAAAGCAATATACCAGTTTTTTAGCCAAAGAACATGAGTATGTTGCTTTGGATTTACTCAACTCAGTTAAGTGGAACCAGGTAACATAACATGGTTAAGTAAATCCAACATTTCATTTTTAGAGTGTATGTTGCTTGTGTAAAAATCTCAATATATCAGGTAGAGAAAATTGTGTTTAAGAAGCTTTAGTTACTTTAGGATTTGTTCACACTGCAGGTCCCAATACTCAGTTC